GTTCAAATGAGCTTGTCGCGTCGGCTGTGAATCTGGAACACGCAATTAATTATTGTTACAGTTAATAAAATAACAAATTACAAGAAAATTTCCGTTTTTTGGACGTTGCAACGCGCATACATAATTTTATAATTTTTTTTGTACATGTACGCAGAGATTGCGTACATGGATATGTTGTATAAACATAATCAAAAGCTTATTTTTATTATTAAAAAAAATGTAAACAAATTGCGCCGCCATCTACGGCGGAACGTCCAAGTTTGTCGAGAAATAGTACGCTGCTTCGCCGCTAGATGGCGGAGTAATCGCGTAGAAAGAGAGGGCAATAATTGAACAGGGTGCGTGGGGTGATTTAAACAAACTTGAAACCGAATTTGATCTGAATTATGTTATCCTCGAGTTATGCTATTAACCCTTTCGATACAGGCGGGTTCTGTGCTGCGGTATTCCCGCTGAAAAGGCCAAAAATGTGCACGGTGCTCGAGTAAAATCTCTTCATGCAAACTCGAGTTGGTTTGACGGTGTTTATTGGAAAAAAAAATACTGATGTCGTCTGTCGTATGTCAATTGCATTTTATGCAGAGCGACTGTAATTGCCCATAGTAACGAAAGGGTTAATGAGATTGGTATGTCTATCGTACACAAATAATATTATAATATTGTATGTATTCATTTTTTCGTAATTACTAGACTGCGGATCTTTATGCAAATTCACATTTTTATTAATAGAATTAATGAAACGGAAGCTTCGTATATGATTGTCTCAACCCCTAAATATAATCATTCGTATCTTACTTTAAGTATTTCTTATATTTTTGCATATTAAAGTAGTTTTTTGAGGATTAAAATTTCCCATAAATGCATAAACATCCGCAGTCTGGTAATTACAATAGAATTTCGATTATCCAGCATACTCTGGACTGGGGCAATGCCTGATAACTGAACTATACTTACATATGAAGTGATAAAAACGAGGAATATAATTTAAAACATACCCATGGGTAATGTAGTAATGCAACTTATTAATAAAGAGTAAAATATGTAAATATCCTTTGCTTTATTCGTCAACTGTTTAGTATCGATGTCACTGGTGTATGCATACAGCAATGACTTCTTTGTTTGTATGAAATATAGTCCATAACATTTACCCAAGAACAGTAGGGTAAATGTGCCGGTTATTTGGATAATAGAAACTCTATTGTAATTAAATATATACATACAGTGCTCCGCTGACTTGAAGTCTCGCTGGACGACACAGGAGCAAGGGGAGTCGGACCGCCCATTTATCTATTTCGCTCCTTTGCTCTTAGGTAGTTCATATGTGTGTGTAACTGCCGCGACGAATAGCGAGCTAGAGATCAATGTGTACGTGGGAATACGTGTATCCCTTCTACTTCTCCCGCATTCCTTCCACAAGACTTCAAGTCAACGGAGGACTGTACATATAGTATTAATTGAGTAGTGTACTTTACTAAATTAATAGAACATGAATCATTTATTATATAGAGAGCTTGCACTGCTTTCAGACAATTGTTATCTGAGACTATAAAACAATTAAAAGAAATTTTAAATGAAGTATAATAGTAAATAATTGAGTAGTAAAAGCAAGATGTTATTATGAGGCACTTGAAGTGTCACATAACATTCATATGCAATTATTTTTTTAGGTACGACATCAACAGCAAGTTTAATTGTTTCAAAGAGCAAGTAAAATTCATGTAGCAGCAAAGGAAACCATAATCTTGGCTGAAGCTACAACCAGGTATATTTTATTATGAAATAAATGTATATTTATGACTTGAAATAGACTACTTCCATTCCTGGCTTCAAAGTATATGTATAAGTGTGTAATATACTATAATAAACTATAATATACTGTCATCCTAGGTGATGGGTGCAGAAAATGAAAAGCAGAGGACATTATAGAAGGGCAGTACTCTTCCACAATGCTGAACATGAAGATTAGAAGAAAGATGTCGTCGCTGGATAATAAAAGCGCGATCGTATCTAAAAATTCAAGCCCAATGCGATTAAATGTTAGCAATGCAAAAAGAAAGGGTTTTGAATGTTTATAAAAAGCGAAACGAGGTGCAAACTCAAATTATACCACCAGTCTCTGTAAACTAAAGGAAATTAGTAATCAAATAATAATGGGATGTGTAAAAATAATTTATGATACATAAATTATACGTTTTAACTATTAGATTTTATAACTAATGGACCTCGAGGACCAGCCGTTGACGAGGAATTAGTTAGCTCATAGAAAACCTGAAATTATGACAATTTAAACAGTTGAATAACTATAGAATAAAAGACATTATAAAGCTCAGCTTATTGAACGCGATAGAATTCAAGAATATATTATAATGTTAGTAAACTACATTGTAACTAGTGGTTTAATACTAACATTATTATAATTAACAACGTAATGTCTACATTTTCATGATGATATATTTATTAATAAGACTAGAAGATAGAATGGTTGAGAATATGTTACTCAACGTTTTAATTTATTTATAAAACACGTTGTCAAGATTACAAGGTATGTGTTACTGTATAATAGAATATTATAAGTGTAAAACATTTCTAATATTTATATTAATAATACATTAAAATCATAGTACATATTTTCCTTTCATTTATTTGCCTTCTCTTCTATTTTCCCCATTAATTCCTTAATTTTTTTAATTATAAAGTATTATAAACACTTAACAGCATTATAAATATTATTCATACTTAATTAAGTTCATAAACCGCTTCTCTATACATTATTTAACGTAATTAATTAATTATAAACGATTACTGAAATATTTGGTCTCATATTGGGCAAAAAAGTGACAAACGATGGTATCGCCATCTAATATCAGAAAATCGAACTCAAAAAATCGTCCCAGGATCACAGAATGTAGGAGGAGGTATCCGGAGTACAGCTAGCCCCACGCCATCTAGCGGCGAAAATAGTGTACCATTGCTCGACAAGTTTAAATGTTCTCCACTAGATGGCACCACAATAGACACCCCCCACCATTGCAATAAATCACGGCTGTCAATGAACTACGACTCGATTAATTACTAATTACTCTTTTCCTGGGCTTCCCTCATGAACTTTTAGGGTTTAATAATATAGCTGAGACCCTTGGCAACATTCAAGGATACTTTTTATAGCCGTGGCATGCGTTATTAAATAGTTATTAATCAATATCGGGAAGTCGGCACAGGTTTTCGAACTTTTTAACGTGACACCTAAGGGATCTATCGCTAATAACTAATTAATTAGAGCATGGAGCGGGGTAAAATCGGTCCTTGAGTGTGGCCAGGGATGTCTACTAGGTACCCTAATAGCCAAAATATGCGTGTTACTGTTGAAAAGTTGATAATTCATCGATTAAAGGAGACGGTGATACAGCCGTAAATGTTCCGACTTCCGGAATTTGTTAATAACTATTTAATAACGCATGCCATGGTTATAACAAGTATCCTAGAATGTTGCCAGGGGTCTATACTACATTCTTCAATTCTAAAAGTTCATTGTTTATTGCTGGAAAGAGAGTTATTAATGAATAATCAAGGCTATGTATATCAGGAGGTGGAAGGGTGGGGGTAATTGTACTTCGCATACCTCCACTATCATTCTGTAATCCTGGGACGATTTTTTAACTTCGAAACACTGATATTAGATGGCGATACTGTAGTTTGTCACTTTTTCTGCCGTGAAACAGTGTCGCCATCTAATATCAGTGTTTCGAAGTCAAAAAATCGTCCCAGGATTACAGAATGATAGTGGAGGTATGCGAAGTACAATTACCCCCACTCCTCCTCCTCCTGATATGCAGTACCTTCGATTATTCATTAATAACTCCTTTTCTGGTTATTAACTATTAACTCTTAGAATTGTAGAATGTAGTATAGACCCTTGGCAACATTCAAGGATACTTTTTATAGCCATGGCATGCGTTATTAAATAGTTATTAACAAATATCTGACGACGGAACATTCACGGCTGTATCACCGTCTCCTTTAATCGATGAATTATCAACTTTTCAACAATGACACGCATATTTTGGCTATTAGGGAACCTAAAGGGCATCCCTGGCCACATTCTAGGACCAATTTTACCTCGCTCCACGCTCTAATTAATTAGTTATTAGCGAAAGATCCCTAAGATGTCACGTTAAAAGGTTACAAACAGTGTTCCGACTTCCGATAATTGTTAATAACTATTTAATAACGCATGCCATGGCTAGAACCGGTATCCTTAAATCTTGCCAAGGGTTCATACTATATTCTTAAACTCTAAAAGTTCATCTGTTAATCCCAGAAAAGGCGTAATTAATTAATTAACAAGCAGTGATTGCTTGAAAGCAGCGATTTGCATTGTGGCGCCAACTAGTGGCGAAAACGCCAAACTATGAGGTTTTCGAAGTTTAATAAATTACTGCTCCTTAATTTACTAATTACGCCTTTTCTGGGATTCATTTATGAACTTTTAGAATTGAAGAATGTAGTATGGACCTTTGCCAAGATTCAGGGATACCTTTTTGAACCATGGCATGCGTTATTAAATAGTTATTAACAATTATCCGAAGTCGGGACACTGTTTCTAACCATTTAACGCAACATCTCAGGGTTCTATCGCTAATAATTAATTAATTAGAGCAAGGAGCGGGGTAAACTTGGTCCTTAAATGTTGCTAGGGATGTCCTCTAGGTTCCCTAATAGCCAAAATATGCGTGTCATTATTAAAAACTTGATAATTCATCGATTAAAGGAGACGGTGATACAGCCGTGAATGTTCCGTCGTCCGATATTTGTTAATAACTATTTAATAACGCATGCCATGGTTATAAAAAGATCCTTGAATGTTGCCAAGGGTCTATACTACATTCTTCAATTCTAAAAGTTCATAATTTGTTCCTGGAAAGAGAGTTATTAATGAATAATCAAGGCTATGTATATCAGGAGGAGGAGGAGTGGGGGTAACTGTACTTCGGATACCTCCACTATCATTCTGTGATCCTGGGACGATTTTTTGACTTCGAAACACTGATATTAGATGGCGATACCGTCGTTTGTCACTTTTTTGCGCAATTCTAAGCGCAATTTTGAAATATTAATCGCTTCCAGAAATCGTTTATAATTAATTAATTGCTTTAAATAATGTATAGAGAAGTGGTTAATGAACTTAATTGGATATAAATAATATTTGGAGTGGTTATAATACTTTAGAATGTAAGAAATTAAGGATTTAATGGGAAAGGTAGAGGAGAATGCAAATAAAAAGGAAGGAATATGTGTGTTATGGTTTTAATGTTTTGTTAATATAAACATAAGAAATGTCTCTACACTTTTCAAATTCTATTATACAGACACACATACCTTGAAATCTTGAAAACTCGTTTTATAAATAAATTAACATGTCGAGTAACATATTCTCAACAATTACTATCTTCTAGTCTTATTTTAAAAGATGTATGTAATGTACATTTTGCAGTGATATCCATTTTAACAAATGTCTATGTTACATTCATTTAATAATAAGGAATAACAATTTTTTTCCTTAATTAATCGTACTTTAGTAGATTATATGTATCACTTGAAAAGAACGTTTTAAAAATTCAGTTTCATGTTAATGTATGAACTGTTGTGTTCAGGTAGATTGTATAAGACTGACATCTAAAATGCAAAATCGTGCTCTGCATACAGGACAAGTACATTTAGAAGATAACCATGTCTCTGATGCATTTTCATCTTGTCTTGATGCAAACCTATAAAGATATTTAATTAAAATATTAATATAATTAAAACAGTACTCGATATTAAACACTAACCATTTTGCCATACAATCAATGCACCACATTGGACGACAATAACACATCATACAATCTTCAGAATCTCCGTTTCCTATACCACTACTGCATTGTTTAAACAATTTTACGTTCGAGGTAGCTTGCATACATCCGATACACTGATTTAATTCCTTAAAATATTTATATGCCATTACTGGTTTATAAAATAAGATCGAATACTAGATTTATAAACTATAAATTACTTCTGTGCTTGTATAGTATGGATTTTCTTCAACTTGTTCCTTAAAATTATCGATGAACCGATCGAGCAAAGTTTTATGAAAAGTAATATTTTGTAATATAGTAATAGGGCGTGAAATTTTATCTTGCAAATTTTTAAAGTCCAATGCATTTAATCTTATATCAAAAGATTGCGTTCCAGTCCTTGTAGGCTTTACCTATAAGCAGGATATATTTACAATTAATACAAAATAACAATTCATAAGTGTATAAATATACCTCGATGTTAATAAATTGTACTTCTCCTCTTGTCACGGGAGACATATTGTGAGTATCACTTTTGGTAACTATCAACACCGTATCAGTCTGGTGTGCGACTAATATTTTATAAGGCATAACTTTAATTATCCAATTGTTCGTTACTACTATACAAGTTATACTATTTGTGGTAATTACAATTTTATCTATCCTAAAATAAAATATTCATTTTTTAATCCTTTGATTTGTACGTAAGCTTTATATTTTAAATAATACGAATCCGATATGAATACTAGAATTGGCTTCCGGGTTGGAGCCGCGTTCAGAAGACGAGTACTCAGTATCAGAGATTATTTGATTCCCTGATGAAGCTAGCTGCAATGCTGGCGAAACGTCGGACTCTCTCGTCTTCTGAAAGCGGCTCCAACCCGGAAGCCAATTCTATTATTCATCACTATGGCCGCGAAAGCCTAAAAAGTATTATACAAATCCGATATGTAACCTTTGATATTCTGCGTTGATATTGGAAACTATGGCAGTCCATGGTATATTATTGTTACAATAAAGCGCAAGATTTTGTGCTATAGGATGTCTAGCCCAATTATTCATAGACCATATTATGATTTTATATAAAGTATACAGAGGCAGGATCACCGTACAAACGAGAATCGTTAACCATAAATTATTATGACCCAATAATATTTTTATACTATCCACATATCCAGATAGAAGTATGCCAGAAACGTAACCTAAAACAAAACAAAACAATAGGCATTAAAAAGTTTGGATGTTCGGGAAAATAAAAAACTGATTGTATTTACCAAAGAGAAGGATGGAATGTATAAACAATGTAATCACGCTTCTTTTTATGTGATACTGTATAAAAAATTCATTTTCATTGCCCAACCAATTTGAAAAAATGTCTTTTATGGTTAGTCCAGCTGACACGAATTCGGTAGGTGGATATATAATACATCCTGACATTAAAACATAAAACAAAGAATAAAAGAAAAAACCGGACATATTCCAAATAATATATTTCTAATCGCGTGTTTTCTCTTTTTAGTGCTTCACCATTAAAAAATCTTTTACATAACTATATTCGACAATCCCGTGTTTAAATTCTCGACGCTATTTAATGCAAACTACATAATGGTTAGGTATTGAAATTATGACAAATATCCATGAACATTGTTGTCAAAAGTAATTTCATCACTCGTAGAACTTGTAATCATTTATTAACGAAATTTTTAATTCTGCATCGTAGTTATATCGGTTTAGAAATGTTCACATTACGATTATATATTCTTTCGAATAAAGCAAAAGTAATCAAAACCTTTGAATATTATAGAATACGTGAAAATCAGCCTATAATTGTTTCTACATTTTGAGTGATATGTATATGCTAATATATTATATATGTGTATATATATATACACACATGTATACATACATATATAGTTAGTTTATGACAGTTCAGTTCGTAGGTTCATAGAACTCGCGGTGTTTGTTCTTTCAGTATTTTTCCACCCTCGTAATTATTTCCAATGATTATTCGCAAACAATAATACGCGGAAATAACACGTACAATTTTCCATTTAAATAATATGAGAAATATAATTATTTTCATTGTCGTGAATATTGTAAGTACATGTTTTCCATTTAGAATTTCATCGTTACTTTGCCTATTTTTCCCTGATACCTTTCCCCCCTTTTCTCATTACAAATTTATTTATTATAAATGAAAGTTGTATATACGATAAATTAAAAATGTTCTTGAATGTTTTTCCACTGTGTAAAGGAAAGAATGAAACTGTTAATAAGTGGCTACACTTATCGCAGTAATGTTTACATACAGTCAATTAATTAAATAATTAATATTAATAATATTTGATTTACCGATTAATATGTTATCGTTATCTAGGTTAGAGTAATTCTTTTCTAATGATGAAGGCTGTCCTCATATTCTTGGTTTTAACTCAAGCCAGAGGAAAGATAATTCAAACGTGTCCGCAATATTGTACGTGCAAAATTGGAGCGCAAGCAGAATGGTTGCGCGTTAAATGTGGTAATGAATTACAAAATATTAAAAGTATTAATATTGATATTGTCAGCGTGGAATTAGTACAATTGTAAGTATACTACATGACTTTCTTAACAGAAAAACACATCTATTTCTATGATATGCCATAATATATGAAATATAATATAATTTTTAATAACGTGTCGCAGAGATTTAAGCAAAAATAAGATTTATACCATTGAAGCTAATACATTTAAAAATTTGACAAACCTAAAACGTTTGGATTTATCCCAAAATAATGTAACATCTATCGGAGAAGGCTGTTTTAACGGTCTTGAAAATTTAGAAAGGCTGTAAGAATATCATTTATATTTGTTGTAGATTAAATTACACGCTTATAATAATTATATGCTTATTTAATTTTAGGGATTTAAGTAAGAATCAAATTTCAACCATAGATGCTTATTCGTTTCGAAAATTAACAAATTTAAAAAGACTGTAAGTTTATAAATTATATTCCACTGCATATTGTTACATGTTTTCTTTTATCTTAAAATTGTTTGTTTAATTAGCGATTTGTCAGGAAACAACATAAGTATTGTGATACCATCATTATTTCATGATTTACTGGCTTTAGAGCACTTGTAAGTGAGTTTATAATTTTGCTTTTTTGCATATAATAATTTAAAGTATTCTCATACAGATAAAATGGCATATTTAAATATCTAATGTACCATATTTTACGAATATGTTTTAGGAAATTGAATGAAAATAGATTAACAACTTTGAAGGAAGGTACCTTTTCTGGTCTTAAATCGATAAAGCAATTGTAAGGCAAATAATATTGTACAATGCAAAAATACGTACAAATATACGTATATTATTTTTATCAAATTTAAATTTATATTTTAGAGACCTGTCTAATAATCCATGGATATGTAATTGCGAATTATTTTGGTTCAGCAATTGGATTTACAAGAGCTCCATTAAATTAATGTAATATATTAATATTTCTTTTTATTTATACGTTTATACGTCCTAATGTTTATAATTTACCTTCTCTAATATTTCAGTCCTGCTCCAAAGTGTGCATCGCCCGCAAATATTAAGGGTGAATTTGTGAGAAAAATAAGATATTCAGAGAATATTCAGTGCCAATGGTTGCCTCCTACGATCGAACTTTGGCCAATTCACAATCAAGTAGTTTTTGTTGGAGATTCATTAACTTTAAAGTGTAGAGCACCTAGTATTACAGAAGATAGAAATGCAAAATTGAGTTGGTTATGGTATCCTAATACTACCAACGAAGTTATGGATTTAAATACATTTACAGATCCGCAAATAAGTTTATCCAATATTAAAATCGATAATAGATACCTGACAGACAGTGGCATCGTGGACAGGTATCCTAATATTTAAATAAATTTTAGGTAAACTTCCCACACATTGATATACAATAACACTATAATTTTTTATAGTTCTCTTAGTATTGTTTCGGTCAAAGAAGAACATAACGGACAATGGAATTGTTTATTAGTATCTGTAAATGGTAATAGATCGAAAGCAATCAGCGTAATCGTTATTTCTGATCAAACTCGTTATTGTCCTTTAGTAGGTAAGATAAACCATATGTTTTCAGTTTTCATGTAATTGTCTAATCAATAAATACGTTACAGTAACTAAAAACAATAAAGGCATTTATACATGGCCTAGGACAGTGGTAGGATGGAAAGCAGAATTACCTTGCGAAGGCAACCATTTATCTGGTGTAATGCAAATATCTTCGAAAGCTTCCTACTTTTGTAATGTCACAGGTTACTGGGAAAATTTAAACACGGAGTTATGTCCATACATATCGCACACAACCAAAAGCTTGGAACAATTTTCCAAGGTTAATCTTTCGCTCGCAAAAATCAATCTGATAGAAGCTGTGAAAAAATTAAAAAATTATACAGGGCATGGAATAAAACTAACTGATCCTGTTGAAGTAAATTTTATAACACAAACTATAGAAAATTATTTAAATTTTCTAACCGAGGAAAAAGAACTTGGTTCTTTATTAATTGATGTTATTAGTACAGTAATTAATTTACCCAAAAGTATCTTAAAAAGGGCCGAAATTTCTTTTAAATCTTGCTCACGGCTGATAAAGGCTGTAGAAAAAATTGTAGAATTTACTCCATCAATACAATCTTACAAAAAGAATATGGCACTGGAGGAATTTAGAATAAAACGCAGCGGTTTTACCGGCTTGATATGTACATGGTATTCAAATGCTGCTTTTGCAAGCGATTCAGAATCAAAATTCTTACAGTGCACGACAAACAATAGAACTACTCCTATTAATATAAAAGACAGAATAATCGAAGCTTCGATACATCTGCCTGCATCTTTGTTGGAATATTCGCAAGAAGCTGTTGTTCATCAAGTAATGATTTCTGTATACAGTAATAACAGATTGTTCCCTAAACTCGTTAACACCGATAATATGGATATTACATCGTGCATTATTGGAAGCAAATTATGTATGTTATAATAAGCAATACAAAGGGTATGTATTAATCGTTAAAGAACAATACACAATTTGAAATTTATTTTCAGTTGGAATATCAATGAAAAATTTAACCGAACCAGTATACATTATGTTAAGAGCACCTTTGTATTACTATGCTGGAAAAAGATTATTACCCGTAGTTTGGGACGAAACGTTGAATAAATCGGGTGGTTGGACAAGTAATGGATGTTATTTAAGAAATATGTTGAACAATTTAATAGTGTTTCATTGTAATCGATTGGGATATTACGGTCTTTTACAAGATACGTCGTACCTTGATCAAGATGGTAACAGGTATCTATTGAACAAATTTTTTATATTTTTAAAACAAGTATGTATCGAACGAATTTCTTCTATTTAAAAATGTATAATTTTTTTCTAGTATTACAGGAGCAACATTTAAATATTTAAATCCAGCAATATATATTGGAAGTATTATAACGATAACATGCTTAATTATTACATGTGCAACGTATATTATTTGTTACACATCTATCACTATGCCTAAAAAAGCCAAACATTGTGTTATTAATACTTGGTTTGCCATGGCACTATTATCATTCTCTTATAGTGTTGGTATACACCAGACAGAAAATATTCAAATTTGTCAAAGTATTGGTCTAACGCTCCACTACTTGTCTTTGTGTTCCCTATTATGGATGGCAGTGTCTGCTAGGTAACAATCTTTTTATATTTTACAAAATTTTATACAAATTATATATAATGCAGTACAACGGTATTAAAAATTTGGTTTGTTTGCAGTAACATGTATAAAAAGTTTACAAAATCTGACCTCGAAGATATTCCAAATAACGAAATCCAGGATCAACCGATACCAAAACCATTATTGGGTCTTTATTTAGTTGGTTGGGGTGTAGGTATGATAATTTGTGGTATATCAGGAGCAATAAATTTACGAGAGTATGCAGGATACTCGTATTGCTTCCTCTCATCTGGTCCTGCTCTTGCTGCTCTTTTTCTTCCAGCTGGAATTTTAATTATGTATCTGATCATTTTTTATTTGCTTATTAAGTGTGCTATTCAGAATATCGATGTGAATGCTCAATTGTCTGAAGGTACACAAGCTACAGAGAACATGGATTTAGAATTATTGGAACCAAGCACAAATTTATCTACGAACAGAAATAGTTTACACAGCACACAAGATTCTTCTGATATTGTGGATTCAGAACATTCTCAAATAACACAGTTAAAGGGCCAAATTATCATGTTAATTTTATATCTAATATCATGGATTGCCGCAGCGGCATCAACTGTAAAACCATTAAGTGCATATATTTCTTTCGATGAAATTGTATTTGCTACATTATATTCCCTTTTCTCGAGTTCGCTTGGCATTTTTGTTCTTTTCTTTTACGGAATTATACGAAACGATGTTAGATCACAGTGGTTAAAAATGCGTTGCTGGCTTCAAAAGCGAAAAAATCGATGTTGTAGAACGAGAAGCATCTCTGATGCAAATCCCGTAATTCCAACGCATCCTTTGGTACAACATTTAGTACAACCATTGTCTAATTCTCAAGCTACTCAAGTAACATCCGATTCGAATTCCATTAGCTCGTCAAGGTGTACCAACAGATCACAGACTTGCAATACTTTAAAGTTTACGGATATTATGAGCAATCAAGAAGCTTTACCTGTTGGAAGAAAAATGGCAAACGTAAATTTAGTTGTGTTACACCGACAACAATATAGATCTAACAATTCCGTAACAACGTATACCGAACCAATTTGTGTAGAAATGTTTTACAATCCCCGTCAAAGTGGTGTTGCTAGAAAATTCTTTAGAAAACAGCGTCGTCATACAAAAAACAATAATCTCGGTCCTAGAAAACAAGGTGACGGTGGTGCAACAAGCGATGCAGGTAGTTGCATTTCTGTACCGCGACCTGCTGCAAAGTTAGAAACTAATATAGACCAAACTATCTTAAGCACTAGCGCGAAAGTAAATAATACAAATATTCATGTCGAGCTAAATCCAATAAACGATATTAAAAATATTAACATTCTCTCGGATAGCGGTGGTAGTATGTCGGAAGAAATAAGTGTTCCAATGCGCTTTGTTATCGGTCATGAAAGTCTTCTTCGAAATGTGAGAAAAATCAATAACAATTGCAGATTGCAGGACCATATAAGCGTTAATACAGTATTAAATTCTTCTAGAAACGATTCTTGTCAAAAGCTAGAAGTTATGAATACAACTTCGCACGATTCAGATATAGACATAAAAACGGACGAAGAAAAGTACTTACGAAATGTTTCGCAACAATGTAGCTTAGAATATAGTTCGGAAGTAGAATCTACTACCCAAATGACTAGTGAGAAAAGTGATCATAATTTACCAGAAATTTATGAAACTGTAGAAACAGGTGTAGAAGAACAATTTGTAAGAAAAAGATGTCAAAGTATTAACGAATCGTACAAGACAGACAAACAACACTGTAAAACAAATTTAAAATGGTTGTCTCATTCTAATAGCATGTACTGTCTTCCAATAGACACTGCAAAAGCATTGAGAAATAATTATTGTAGTTCATTGAACGACATCTCTTCTGTTATCGATTCGAAGAATTGCAAATATTTAAAACCGTCATTCACGAATTTGCAATCAATCACGAACTCGCATTTGTACAATCAAGTTTCTATTTCTCAAAAATCATTCAGTCAGTCAGAATTATCATTTTCCGAAGTAAATAGCTTAACTAGCGATAACGTGCATAATTTAGTACAGACAACCGTTAATTCTTCGTTGAATATCGAATGTATACCTAAAGTATGTACTAACGAGTACAATTTTTGTTTTACCGCGGAGGTAACTTTACCTAGTTTAAATTGTACAAATGTTGCGCAAGATTCTAAAGAAAAAACTACAGACTCTCTGACCGATATTAGATCACTTATGTCAAGCCCTTGCAATATTGTAAAATGTTTTGATTCAGGGAACGATGTAGAAAGTGTAAGCAAAAATTCAAATTTAGATAGTTTACAACAAATTGAAGTCAGTAAAATATACTTGAAAAATCCAAATATTTATCTACAAGTAACCAAAAAAGAAACAAGCGTTTAATCCGATTATTTTACTTGAAATGTAACAAATAATCTGTTTATTTTAATAGAATCGTTTCATTCGGAGAAGTAAACATAATTTCTGCTTACACTTACATTTTTATTAAATCTAGAAAACTATCCATATGTATATTATTCTACCAAGTTACTGTTTTTACAGAGTTACAGTTCCTATAATGACAAAAATTATTCTTTCTTACAAAAATATTCTCTTAGCCTTCCTATTTTTTGCTGAATGCCAAATATTTCCTACATATATTTTTCTTTAGATAGAAATGTAAGACATTTACGTCGCCAATTTACGTAACAATCAAAGTATTTATTTATTGAAGAAAGAATGTATATAGTTAATAGAAATGAATTTTAACCACTTGCAAACATAAATTTTGCTTAAAACTCATTTCTTCTTTCATCTTATCATTACATATTGTTTATAAAGATTAAAAAAAAAAAGACAACCATTTATACAATTGTAATTTATATTCATTAATATTTGCTTCCATCGTATATTTTTTAAATTAAAATAATCGTCCATATTTTATTCTATTTAATTATTCGTTATGCATTTTCATTATTATTTTGTAATAATAGCGTATACAATTTATATTAAAATGTATTATCATTTTTTCATAACTTCAATATTCTCTTGTAGCTTGTAAAATGTGTTTTCCTAAGACTGAATATTTGACCAAGTTAATTGAGATTATATCAAATGTGTAATGCAATGACACTGTACTAAGTTATATATTGGTACATGAAAAAATCATGTAATTTAAATACTACTGCCTAAATGTTACACATTGTAAATAATCTATAATTCTACCTTTAATATAAAGAAGTTTATGTATATTAAATAATATTTGTAAAGATCAATAACTGATATAGCCAAGTTATTTTATACAATATTTAAAATAATATTAAAAAATAGTATACATGCTCATAGATATTCGTAGGATATGAATATTACTTTTACAATTACTTTCATACAATGTATACCGATATTAAACGAAACTTTTATTTATAAAATAGTTTATAATTTATGTAGTATTTAAATATATTCATTTTATGTACTCGAAAAATATATTTAAATGTTTCAAAAGTATAGCTGTATCTTGTAAAACTGAAATTACTACTATGTTTTTTGTAATTAGCTTTGTTTATTTGCTTATGTACGCGCGCGTTTGTATAAATCAATGCAAATTCATTTGCTAATTGAATAAAAAATATAATAAATCATGGAGATCTTAGTTTATATTATTCATTGAAATGATAATTCTAATAATAACAAGAATAATATTCTTTATGTATGGAGACATTTTGATAGTATTTCTTTTATACATTGAATATTATTTTTGTATATTCAACCAATCCCTAGGATTTTGTAGTACATCGATAAGTTTTGCTTCTTTTGACCCAGGATCTGGTTTATGCATATACTGCCAGTTTGCAGACAAAGGTAAAGACATTAGTATACTTTCGTATCGTGCACCAGGAGTGTATAAACCAAATTTTGTACCGCGATCGTATATTAAATTAAATTCAACGTATCGTCCTCTACGTAGTAACTGCCATTGCCTCTCTGCATATCCATATGCATCATCTTTATGCTTTTCCACTAATGGAATATAAGAAGGAATAACAGCTTCTGCGCAAGATTTTACAAATTGGAATGCGTCATTTTGATTTGGCACATCAAGATCATCAAAAAAGATACCGCCGACGCCTCTACATTCTCCTCTATGCGTAATAAAGAAATAATCGTCGCACCATTTTTTATATTTTTGATAGTAAGAAGGATCATGTTTATCACATGCATGTTTTAAAGCACTATGAAAATGTTTTACATCGTCTTCATTTAAGTAGTAGGGCGTCAAATCGGTACCTCCTCCAAACCACCATTGAATCGATCCATCTTGATTTTCAACCTCAAAGTAACGATAATTAAAATGTATTGTTGGAATCATGGGATTACGTGGATGAATTACAGCGCTTACACCAGCTGCAAAGAATGGCATAGGTCCTTCTTGCATAGTTTTTCCACGTGCTCTCATCTGTTGCACCGCGCTCGATGGCAATGTACCGGTAACAACAGATACATTTACACCAGCCTTTTCAAAAACAGTTCCATCTTGTAAAACGCAAGTAATTCCTCCACCACCTTCCTCTCTGATCCATCGATCAACTTTAAAACGATAAGCAGGATCTTCTAATGACTCTAAAGCTTTACAAAAATCTCCTTGGGTTTTCATTACTAACAATTCTACTTTTTTTCTCATATTATTCCTTTTCTTTAATTCCTCCATGTCGGTAATGGGTTGCGCCATGAATTGTTTCATATCTAATTCATTTTTAGCTGCTAAAACTATATTTCCAGAAGTATTGTATACCATGATGGCTGTGAAAAAACCAATACCAACATATTTAGAACTTTTAATTTTGTTTTGATCTTTATAACAATTACAAAGAAAATAACGTAGAGAAGTCCAATTTCTGAATAAAACACGGGCAACCATGGCTACCTGTAATTGATGTTATTTACAAATATTAGTTTTATTACATTATTTATATAGGACATTTAACTTTGTTTCCAAGTTATAGATACAAACTCAATTAGCACAACTAACAAACTGTTTGTACATGTTTTGTATGTACATTCAATGACACAGAAAATTATTTATAACCAAGAAACAAAGTTAAACAAGATTTTTTTATTTTTAACGTTTCCCGTTCACCATCGAAGTAGGTACCACATATATCTTGAAACTGCTAAACAAATAGTGCTTACCGTTCTTTTTATATCAAGTAAATTTGCAAATATTACAAATGATACAATTCTTGGTTATACAAATCACGAACAACTTAATTCATTCAAAGTAAAAAAAACGTATGAAAATAATTTTATACCGAAACAATGAGAATATTGTATAATATTGTAATATCATTAAATACATAAAGTTTCGGTGTTTAGCAAATACCGAAAAAGCACGTTTATTATTTCTAAGAATTGTGGAGATAATCGTACGCAAATACGTGAGACAAATTGTTTCTTAGACAACATAACCACAAAAACAAATATACTCGTAAGCGATGAATGTTGTTCTTCTTTCATTTTAAAAGAAATTAAAAGTTTATATTAGATCAGGGAAATCCAACCTAAATATGCGAATACTCCAATGTCGGTTAAAAAATAGTAGTCACCATATATCACCATATTGAAATTACCATTACTTTAAATTTGAATAAGTACTGTTTTGCAATGATTAAAAAATTACTTCGTACGTGGTGCCATCGCAACTTTAACTTTACTGATCTTTTTTCACTTACTATGCTTTACTTGCTTTACATTTAGAGATTAGCATTCAATTTACGCTAGATACACACCAGCGGTACGTCGCCGTTGTGTTTCTATGTTTTTTCTTGTCTTGAAATTGTATTAGATAATCAATATATTAACAAAAATATATGTATGTACATATTAGGTTAATTAAACATCACCAGTAACATACACATATGTATGTACGCATAAAATGTGGTTCAATAAAGGGTGTAATCGGTTTCTAAAACATCAACGATTTCAAACACAAATTTTGGTACGTTATAAATTATTCTATTTTTTGTTGAGATATTAATATTTCATTCGGATAATTTGTTGTAGTTTAAAAAACGATATACACAAAGTGATGTAAACACAATACAACAAATTCCAGAACCTGAGTATAATATAGAGTTTTTGTGTAATCCATCAAATCGGGATATTATTTTGAATAACATAATAAAAAGGAAAGGTATTGGAAATATTGACAAAGTTCTTGAGTATTCACAAAAGCCCAAATTAAAAGAATCTTTTTTGTATGAATTAAGTAAAATCCCAAATCAGACGGATCCAACTATATTGTCTTATGGTAATGAACCGCAGGTATTAAAGAAATGTGGATGCAAGCCAGAATTTGATTTTGAATTACAAGAATTTTTACCGTTGGTTAAAAAATTAAAATTACTGAGAAATGAAGCCTTAGGTCCCTTGGTAGGACAAAGAGGTTATATATTCGTAGGAGATTTGGCAGAATTGGAAGAAGCATTGGTTCATTATACAGTTAATGAATTAGTAAAACATGGTTTCAAACTTGTTTCAGTACCTGATATTATTCCTACTAAAGTTATAGAGAGATGTGGATTAATATCAGATAATGAACGAACTCTAGTATATACTTTAAATTCTTCCTATGGAGATAATTACAGTTTATCCGGAACATCAGAAATGGCATTAGCCTACAAAATAATGAATACTACATTTTCCATTGATGATTTGCCATTAAAACTAGCTGCTGTGAGCAGATGTTTTAGAGCAGAAACATCTAGTACCATAAATGAAAGAGGAATATATAGGTAATATTTGACTCTATTTAATACCGATACATGTATTTCTATATAAGTTTGATTCCTTCTTCAGTTACAGTTTGGTACGGTATATAATATCTAGCAAGAATTGAAATTTGAACATCATATTTTAATTAATTTATTTATTTTAAGAGTTCATCAGTTTACGAAGGTTGAGATGTTTGTGTGTTCAGAGCAAGAAAAATCTATGGAAGAATTTCAGAATCTTCAAGCGATACAAGAAAATTTATTTTCTTCTTTAAATTTACATTTTAAAATAATTGATATGCCACCTTGTGATTTAGGAGCTCCTGCATATAGGTATGAACATACAGGGTATCTCATTTCATTACACGAAGTATTTCAAACAAATCAATATAAATATTTAATTCCATTTTAATCTGTTAAATACTGCATTTAAAATTTTATGTAATTAGAAAAGTTGATATGGAAGGTTGGATGCCTGGAAGACAATTATATGGAGAATTATCTAGTTGCAGTAATTGTACAGATTATCAATCACGACGACTTAGTATAAAATACAAAGCAAGAAATGGAGAAGTCTTGCATGTTCATACATTAAATGGAACTGCATGCGCAATTCCCCGTATGTTAATTGCACTTTGTGAAACACATCAAACAAAACATGCTCGCATTAAAATTCCTGAAATATTAATACCGTACATGAGAGGAAAAACACTTATCAGAAAACAACCAGTTGCAGCCATGAGAATCTATAAATACAAGCAAAAACTTTAGTGCATCGACGTACATGTATATTTCGTCGTAACACAAATACAATTTCTATAAATGTTCAGAATATTTAAAATTGTAATCATATTTTTTTTATTGTATTTATAGAAAAAATGTGTAAATATAAAAGAATAAGTATAATTTATCTGAACAGTATATATATATATATATATGTATTATGAACAAATTCAAGTCAGCCAGTGAATAAAGTTCAGCCGTTTGTTTAATTTTCTTTAAATGAATGTTAGTTATGATTTTGTTGCTAATATAAAAACATAAAGTCACAATTGTATTTAGAAAATTACTAAATTGAAATATTTATAATTACAAAATTGTTCAACTTGTCCCAGAAAAATAGGGTTTACTAAAACTTCAAACATTAAACACCACCTGACAATATATTTTCTATAAACTAATACAATATTCTTATACAAAGAAAGAGGGTCTGAAAATTATACATACATAGGGATAAAGATCTATTCTTTGATAACCTTTTTTTTGTTATTCTGTATATATTTTGTAGCGGTGTTATACAAACGTAACACAAAATATTTTTTCTTAAAGTAATACAATTTGAAGACATTGCAAATTTACAATTTATCTTCCATACTAATTGGATGTTAGTATAATGTTGTTTCCTGTCTATCAATAATTAAAAAGTTTTATATATTTGTTTTCGTTATACTGTCTCATAGTAATACAAACTTTGGTTTTTTAAAAATTCTGTTTATCAGTACGATCCAATTGCAGTTTATATCTGATTCATTTTTGAAATTTCGAATAAAGTTCAAATATGTTATTTTCTGACAATGAAGGTTATATTATTCTGAAATGTAAAAAAGGTTATATAATTAAAAGAATTTTAACATATTCAAATAACATACTTTTGTTGCTTTTCTTCTTCGTCATTTCCATCTTCCTCTTCTCCAGATTCAGACTCCTCTTCAGCTATCTGTAACCACTCAACAAATTTTTTCATTTGCTGCAAAAAGAGTAGTTTTCCTTTAACCGAATGACCCTCCTTATACCACTTCAAAATTACTTCCTCTGATATTACATATGCTAAAATAAAATGTTATTAAAAATCAAAAATGGTACCAAATCTTTATGAATGCTGTATAGTTAATTACAACGTACTTTTATAAAATAGCAAAACAATTTTTTGGAAGACTTTCATAAAGTTCATATTTTCATAACAGAATTCCTGGACCTTGAGTATGAGTGCAAGCTCAGATTTGGCAGTGACTGTAAAAGCACAAAATAGCGGAGTATATACTTTTAGATGTTTCAATGCCTGATCAGCTACCAATTCTTCCTTTTTATTCCATTCGGCTTGTCCCATTACAACGCCCCAAATCTGTAAATAATCGTTTATGTTTTCTTTTGTTAGCATGATTATAATAATAATTCTAATATAACCACAATTACCAGGCCAATAACTTCATGTTCAGGAATGGCACATCTTTGTGCCATTTGTTTGAGATCGAATATAATATCTTTCATAGAACGATTTTCAGCTAAATCATCCAAGAGTAATTGTTGCAAATCTCGCTTTGCTTCTTGACTTGCTTGAGCTTTGTGTAATTTCACAATATCTGCAAGACCAACAGCCTCAAATACAGATCGAAAATGCTCCTCTGTTCGTCTATTTGGTGGTACAAATTCCATTAACCTGTTTGTTGCGAAAAAAGCAAAATAATAAAAAATCCAAGTCCTTAAAGTATTGAAACACATTTTTTTAACACTCCGTACAGGATATAGAATATTTTTATACCTTCTTTCGATGTTGCCCTTTTTTAATGCAGTCATTAAACTAGAGAGACCTTTTTCCTCTCTCCAAGTAACAAAAACCTCTAATAAAAAGTCTAATGCTAAATTATCTTTGACAAGATGTTCATTAATTAAAACTGAAAGCACAGAGGGTGGTACAGATCCATTGGAAATCCATAAAGCTGTCATTTTAGCCAATTTTGTTCTTTCTACAGGGGTAAAGCCCTTCATAAAAACCAATACTTTTTTCATTTCATCTTCAAACATTTTTTCCAAGTATTTATATCGTCGCATAAGTTTAATGAAAACCTAAAAATCAAATTGCAACCATGATCATATAATATAAAATTAATAAATTTCCTCTAAATATGTATTGTATGTAATATATCACTTGTTCAAAGTTGCGCATTGATTCCATATCTTCTGGTTGTTCAAAAAGACAAGCAGTAGCTTTAACGGGTTTATCGCCATCTTGAGCAATAGAACCACCTGGTATTAAAAGACCGCCAGCTATTAAAATGTCAAATAGGTCTTCTCCGTATCGGCGGTAGTCTAATTTAGAGCCGGCTGCATCCAAGTACTTTGAAATTGCATCTAAATCGTTACCAGCCTTTTCCAAACCAAGAATAATTGCATCCCTGAATCCCGTTGGATCATACTTTTCTTTTTCATCTAATTTGTAATTAAATTTATTATAATTTTCAACAAATATTAAACAAAATTCTCTAATTTTCGAAACGTACCTCTTTTTCTGGTCTTTATGCGTTGACCTGATAATATTGGTTTTTCTATTTTTTGACTCATACAATACCTTTCTGAAATTATGAAAATTTCTATAAATACCGTATTTAAAATATGTTTTAACCGTAATGATTTGAAAAAAAGTTAAATTTCAGACTATGTTTATAAGGTATTCTACTACTAAGCTTGTGCAATAATTGTACAAAATATTGAAAAATAATTCCATCGTACATATATACAAACAGTTATTCAAACATTAGCTATACTTGAAAGTATTTTTATTTGCAAATACGCATTTAAAAGTGTTGGAAAATCAAACAAGACTACCAACGCGATCACAATGCGCGTAACATTCGACTTCAAAGCTGTCGTTGGCACATCCCTGACAAATGGCGACATCCCTGACAAATGGCGATATTTGTAAAATAAATAATTATATATAAAAATTTCTGATTATTAACTACTTTATACGATCGTATTATAAACGATGCAAAAAACATGTATTTTGAGTAATTCATTGCTTTCTAAGGTTAAGGTCACGCAATGAGACCACGATGGTCGAAATCTATAAAAATGTTCAACTCCTTACGATGGATGGATTATCCCAGAACCGAGAGAATATTAATCAATTATTAGCCATTTTTCTTTGTTAACTTACATAAATGCACGTAGAACTGTAAAACTACCCCTTTCCAGGTGTACAAGAGCAATACGAAATATTCCAAAGAAGATTTTGAGCACTTAAGTTCAGTGAAACCGAAGAGAATTAATCTAAGAAGAAGTCACGATTGGTAGAGAATAGATAGGTTACTCGAATTTGTATTTCATAACGTGTTTTTAACGCCATCTAAACGGTTTACGGTGAAAGAGGGCGCTAAAAATTGCTACGAACTATTCAGCCAATGGTAACACGCGAGCGCCATGTTGGATTCAGAAACCAGAACTGAAGAACATTGGTAGAATAACATATAGAAACGACACGTGTACAAAGAGTAGCCGTACAATTGAATCTACTTTTTGATCCGAGTTCGTGTGCATTACTTATTTATTGTTAATTGATGCGGCAGCCTACGTGGCGAGTTTTTGTAGGAAGTGTACACGTTACTGTTTTCATCGTAAATGTACGAAGAAACTAGGCAATTATAAGATGACTTATGTTACAACGAAGTCACGAAGACGTGCTAGTACACACCGATTTTATCAAAATTGCGAAACTGGCAAGGGGTTAACGATACTGATTGAATAATAAAATTTGTGAAACACGCATTATAGCTTTAAAAAAAATGTCACATCAAATGCGCATTGATCAATATTACAAATCAATAATTAGCACGCAAAGATCAAATAAAACGATTGGCATTAACAAAAATTCTAGATTAAAAGATATATCGTATTCAAGATCTGTAAGCTACTATTTATTACTATGTTCACCGATTATTTAGATTTTCAAGTGCTTATAATGTAATATAATACTTATGTTACTTGTACCCTTTTTAGAAAAAGAAAACTGAGAAACAAAATAAAACACATATTATTAGTTCTGATGATAATGAAATTAATTTGAGAACACCAAAACAAGACTTAGAATGTAGTTTGGAGATGAGTGAAATAGCAATAGATCGTAATAATAGTATGGAAGTAAAGAAGGAAGAAATAATACCAAGCTACGATGATAATGAAAGATTAAGATCTCCTAACAAAACTAATATTCAAGTTACAAACAACCGTGATTCTATTTCTCCAGTAAAACGGTTAAAATATTCTCCAAAAGTACCATCTAATAAAAAATTGAAAAACTTGCCACAAAACCTTTCGGGCCACACTCAACATAATGACATTATAACTAAAGCAATTGAGCATATGAATTTAGCAAAGCATGGTGCTATTCCACCAAATAATTTTAATCTGGAAAAAATATATTCTAATAGCAGATTTAATTACCAGTATAGTTGCATAAACACAAAGACATCAGTAAAGTATGAAGAAAGTGAAATAAATTTTTCTAATAACTTAAACTCAAAAATCTTGTCCGCTGTTATTTTTACAGTTCTTTCTAATCCTGTAAATTGCGGTTACTTCGATGAAAATGAAATGGACTTTATATATTCCATTGTTACTCTTCCTGTAAATGCTCAATTGTTACTGACATGTATGATAAAAAGGAAGAAAACATGGCATAGAAAAAGTAATATAAAGTATCCGGAAATAGCTTCGAACTTACAACCTGTGTTTAAACTTCTTGCTTCACGATCTATTTGTACATTTGATGTTAAAAATGAAAACTTGTCTACTCTACTCCATTTATTGCAAGTTGGTGAAATACGTCAACTTTGCCAAGTTATGAAAATAGATTCGAATGGAAAAAAAGAAAATATCATAACCAAATTATTAAAATTATCAAAGAACAAATCTTTGTTTCCTGGTATGAAAAGTCCAAATGATATTTTGTATACTTCTATTTTTGATATATTGGATTATTGTGTATGTATAACTGACAGGACATGGAATATTATTGATAAAATAATTACTTTACTTGTACCAAATCAAGATCCAAAAATGAGCATAGCAGATACATTTTTCAATTTATATGATGTTTATTTAGGAAAAGCAATGTTTCCCAACATTCCTGAAATTCGTTTTCCAATATTTTCTTGCACGTCACATTTACTAAAGTAAGATTTTCGTACTTATCATATAACTATAATGTTGATGTATGAAAGAAGTTCTTTAGTTTATTTAAATTCATTTGTATTTACAGTTACATTCATGCTAAATCTATGTTGTTTACTACATTGGAATCTATTGAGAAGAAAAATTGGGAGAAAGTACGATATTATGGAAATTTAGCTATGGATAAATTGTCAAATGTATTGAAAATTGAATCGTTAAGGTATTTAAAAATAGATACTCATTTGTTGGAAACAAATTTCAATATTAATTATACTTGGAACATACATTTTGTAGATTAAGAAATTCTACAATTCCCATGCATGTTAGATGTTTCATGCCTGAATACGTGTGGTTGAAAATACTTTCAAAATCCATAGAAGCATTTAAAAAAATTGAAGACAAAAAACATGTCTTGGAAATTTTAAACTTTTTATTAGAGCAAGATTGTCACTTGTCTAAGTATAAAGGAAGTTGGTACAATGAATTAGCACTTATTAAAATGTATCACCACAAAGATGTAGATGCTAGCGCATCAGTAATAATTGAAGCCTTAGGAACAGAAAATTTGTCACAAGTAGATCGAGTAGAACTTCTTGAAAGAGCAAATAAAATTTTTAAAAAAAAGAAAGGTGTAAAGCCACATACAAAAATCAATATTGATAAAGTTTTAAATGATCATATTCACCAAATGCCAAAATACGAAGTTTCATCTATTACTATAAATGCTTTATCAATGCCTAAGTAAGTTCAGTTGCATCCCTGATCTTTTAATAAAAAGACAAAATCATATATTATAATTTCATAATGAGTGAAAGATTTAATGTAAAATTATTTTAGCAGAGGGATTGGAAATAAGAGTGTTTGGTGCATAGAAAGTAATAGTGAAAGTCAAAGTTATGGATCGGTAGAAATGCTTGCATCGTATCACTATTCTGAACAAGGATTTCCTAATGCAGTACATTGTGAAGGCGAATTGCCAATTCTTTTATTCGTTACTTTATTCTGGGAAGAAATTTATGAAATAGATATTCCAGGGGCGTTTGTAACACTGTATCAATATGCTCCAGGTGATTTATTCACTGAACATTTCTATGATAATAGAAAAGAGAAAGTAAATATAAAATTTGAAATTATTAAGAATTTTGATTCGGAAACTTTAAGCTCCTTCATGAAAAAAAGATTTGAAATATATAAACAATATCAATCTATAATGAATTCAAACTTACTAAAGAACAGTTTACAGTTAAAAGTACGTATTTTTTTGAAATTATTTTGTATCATATGCTATGCTATATAATAATTTGCAAGAAAAGAATAAAATTATTACTTTTAGGAAATAGTATACTGTTTAGGAGTTGAAGGTATTGTAGGAATTTGTAAACGACTTATTCAGAACTTTAAACTTTGGAAGGCTGGATTTCCTGATTTAATTGCATGGAATTATGAGACCAAGCGGGTAGATATTTATATAAAATTTATATATACATATATATATATATTTTTGTATAGTTTCGAAATAAGAACTGTCAGTATACATACATTTTTGTTAAATCTAATGAACATAACTTGTTTCTTTTACAGTATAAGATTATAGAAGTAAAAGGACCACGAGATGTTCTCTCAACGAAACAACAATTATGGTTGCAATATTTAAACCATCTTGGACTTAACACTGAAGTATGTCTAGTACAAGGTAAATATTTTATTAATATTAAATAATTATATCAAATTCTAAACTTACATTTTTTAATAAACTCAAGGTTGCAAAGCTTCTGTTACTGTAGTAGTGCAGGGCCCCTCAAAGTGATAACTTAAAAATAACAAAAAGAAACGTTACTTTGTTACAGATAAACTCGGTGCAAAAAACAGATAGAAAATATAAAAGCCCTGGATAGCTACGAATTTAAATATTTTACATACCAACATACTATAATTTTTATACAGATTAGCTTGCTATTTATTCTATCTAAAAACCATTTAATACAATTTTGAATTTAACTTACTCAAAGTGTTTTGTAGCGGGAGTTGTTTCTAAGTTAAATTCGGCAACGGGAATATTGCGTTTTGCTACTTGTGGTGCAAACATTGCTGCAGGATATACAATCGACGATGTACCAATAATCAAGCACGCGTCACAATTTTCTACAGCATCATCTAGTGTTTAAAAATGAAACATTTTATTCACATTTTTATGTAAATTATTCGTGTAATATTGTAATATATTTTATGTATCATTAAAGAGTACTTACTGGCTTGTTTAAGTACATCTTCGTACAAATTTTCACCAAACCATACAATATGAGGTCTTAGCAAACCATTACAGTTTTCTTTACAACATCTAGGTAAATCGTCTTTCAAAATATCAGAAACCATAATGTTTGGATCTGGAGATCTATGGATATATAAATTATATTCATAGTATAATCTATATTATATTTATAATGCAATCATGTTCCTACCCTTTTCCTTCCAATGCAGAACATATTGGAATATTTTTATTTATTGCAACATCTTGGCAAACTGTGCAGCGGGTTTTATAAAGCGATCCATGAAGTTCCACTACGTTGTTTGCACCTGCTCGTTGATGAAGTTCATCAATGTTTTGTGTTACAATAGTAACAATCTTACCTTCTTTTAAGGCACGATTTTGAAAGGCTGCTATTGCATTATGAGCCTAGGATATACCAGAATAAAAGTATTAAAATTCATAGAACGGATATAGAATATTAGGTAGCAGAAGAAAATATGGGATTATCTAATTACTTTATTGGGTTTAGCTTCGTTCGCTACTCTTCTACGATATTCGTAAAATTCCCAAACTAAAGAAGGATTCGCTGCAAATGCTTCTGGAGTTGCAAGCGTTTGAGCTTGATACTTTCGCCAATAACCACCGGCACCGCGAAAAGTGGGAATACCAGATTCCGCAGAAATTCCGCTACCAGTTAATATCAATATGTTTTTTGCATTTGATAATGTTTCTCGAAATGATTTCATGATATTCATGTTTCACATTTCTAGAACACTTAGGCCAGGCAAAGTCCTCGTCTTCGTGAAATATGGTGCAGTGTCAGTCTTTCACAGATTAAACTATTTGAAATAAAGAATTATGTAATTAGAAAATGAAACGTTTCTATAAAACTATGCAATATTGCGATTTGAAACCAAAATTAGTAGAAATGTCGAGTGTTGGTTAATAACTTTTCATAGTTAAAAAATCTTTTAATCTTTCTATTGTTACAAGCTGATACGAAGTCACAGTACCAATTTGCATAAATTTCTACTAACATGCACATCATCCCAAAATGAATAGTTATCATTTATCAATAATTTTTGGAAATTGTTACATCGATATCATTCGTGATTATTTAGTTAATTTTACATGCATATCTCTACCTTATGAATTTCTCCCGCCATGAAATATCAGACACTGATAACATTCAAGAATCAATTTTATTAAAATTAATTATTGGAAGCAATAGTTCTTTTCCTTACGTCGTTACGTTACCTAAAGTATTTGAAAAAATGTGGTGTCATCTATGAATTGATATTGTAACTACTAAAATGTATCAGAAATACAAAATAGAAATTCCCGCAAATTTAATAACTGATTTTTGGCGCCATTGCAAGGAAGTCGGAACATATTCCCGCCAATTCAATAAATCGAATCACAACTTGAATAATAATTAATTATCCTTCATCTGGGATTAAATTATGAATTTTTAGAATTTAATACTGATCTGTAGTGCTCATTCAGGCCTCTAAATTCTTATGTATTAGAAATCGGAACATTAAAACAAAAGAAGCTCCAATGGTTTAAATTCTTCTAGGATACTTGGAAAGATTGAAAAGATTTTCAAAATAGATATTGAGATCTTATATCCAGATTCCCATAGTAACAATGCTTTTAGCAAAATTAAAATCAATGAACAATGCTCTAAAACTACTAATAAAACACGAAATTTAATTCATATTGCCAAAACTGTGAGTTCTCTTTAGACTATAGCTACAGAAATAAAATTCAGAGCTTAAATTTCTTGATAGAAATTTAACTTCTGCATTAAAATATGTTAAACTAAGGCAGATCATGTCTAACAACAAATACATGGTCAGAAAGAAATCGCGAAACATTTACTAACAAATTTAGTAAGTCTGATTTCTACATAGGAAATATCATTTATTATTCTTTATACATATTTAATCAAGTGTTAACCGAAATTTGTTACGTCTCTTCTCCTTCCTAGCTTGTTCTTCTTCTAAAAATTGCTTAATCATAGCTGGTGGCAATATTTCACCTCTATATGTTTTTTGTATTCGTTCTTTTCTCAAAAGAGCAAGTCTTTCAGAAACATACGCTTTTGCATCGAATGCTTGCGCTTCTTTAATCTTTGCGATTAATTCTGCTTGAAAATTTTTTTCTTTTCTTATATTACGCATTTGTCTTATTTTTGCCCAGACATACTGCATTTTCTTGCGAAGCTTCTTCCTCTGATGTTTCTTCATTTTATGTCTTCTAATCACTATTAAGTTTACTGCAAATTTTCCCACATTACTGCTCGAAGGAAGCTCTAAAGATTTATCTATAAGCGGCAAGTCACGTCGAATAGGATATTGCGTTAAAGGTTCTTCTATCGATAGTATATTCTTAAATGGTATTTCGATTTTATTTTTATTTAAAGCACCGTCTGCATTAGCAAAATCTATGTTCAGTGTTTTTGGTACGAATGAAATATTTGTTTCCGGGTATTTTATAAATACTGCATTTTTAGAAGAATACAGCGGCAAAATATTACGTTGCTTCTCTGATAAATAATATGAAATATATCTTCCAACAACATTACCTGGAATAACAGTAGTTAAATGAAAATTAATTAGGTTATATTTGTATTGTTAGATCGTTTAAAAGTAAAACGTTGAACATACTTTGTCTGCCTACTGTTATTTGCCGAAACGCTGTGCACAATTTATTTAGAGCCATTATTTTAATTATTACATATATGTATAGAATATTGTGCAGTACTGTTTTAAAAGATACTACCGCAGACGATACTCTAGAATCTTTTTACTATTTCGGTGTCGAGACTGTGGCGCTACTAACTATGAGAATCAAAATCGATTTCTACATATTCTCGATTAAAATACGCGTTGTATGCATTTTTAAAAATTAAAATCCTTCAATCCGTTCAGAAGTTACGACAGTTTAAAGAGGATCGAAGAAATAAATACGTGATGTACGACCTTGGTTCTCGACAGAAATTCAAAGAAACTTTCAGTCAATAATTATTAATTAACATCAGGCTAATACAGTAACAACGAACTAATGGCTGCGAATTTAGAATTGTTTCTTGATATAATAAACGAATTTAGATACATTAGGTGAAAGGTCTACTCGTATACCTCGTCTGTGTCGGTATGTCGACTTTCGAAACTATCGCACTCTAGCGGCTGAACCGTGAAACTGTTTAAACTATTCGTAACTGCAATGATAAGTTAACAAACTGTATAGAGAGGAACCCCCCAACTTGGAAATTCAAAAACTTCTGACATTTTGGGCGTATGTAGAGCATATATAGAATTATGTATTACATAATTCTTTCTGCTGTCCAAGCTTACATTGAAAGCTAAAAATTTATCCCTTAAATGTCCAGCAATTTTTTATTTCCTTGTAACTTGAAAATTATACGAAATAAGAAGAAAGTTATTTCTTAAATTTAAATCTATCACGTGACAGATGATTTGTCAATGTTTTTAAACGATTGAATACAAATTGTAAACAAAAGTCGGTATTTAAATAATTTGTTTATTTTTCACGTGGAATCTTAATCAGTGGTTTGCTGTATAGTTTACTTCGAATAGTTTTCTATTTATTGATGTTTGTTATCGTTGAAAACATTCTGTACTTCCTTTTTATTATTCTTTTCGTTACATAGTGCTGATCATGCGATATTTTTTGTTCCACTCTTTACGCAAAACCGAACGTTGCATTTTCACCTTATCCTATTGACAGTTCAACCTCGATTTTACATTCAAACTCGGGGTCTACAGATCCAAAGTGCTCAGAAGAATTTTTCCATCAAGTTTAAGTATCGAATGTATTATATTAACATAAATATTCACACGTTTTTTTATATTTTCCACTACATTTAGAATATAATTAAATTATATAACCGATCGTGGGACACGTCACAGTAATTTTTAGTTGCAACTATTCCAACTAAATATCAATTTTTATTAGATAGAAGTTTCTAATCATCGACGATCGTACTTAGGAGATTTAGGTTGTAAGAAGTGTCTGCTTTTTTAAATGCGCGATGTCGTTGGTTCTTTGTTTAAACGCTTATACCTGAAATATGCACGGTACGTGCGTAATTATTCAAGAATATTTAAATCGGTCGCGAAGTATCCAGCATCGTCGATTTAAGGAATTACGTGTGATAGTCGTGCGTGCAATTTTAATTTCGAGTACAAAAGACGCCATATTTTCTGCTATTATTCTCCGAGCAACACGCGGAAACGACGAAGTTAGCAGCAGCGACTTAGCATATCTCCGTTTCCTATCGTCGTTTCATTAGAGCAAGCCTTCGATTGATTAATAAATTAATTTTGTCGTTTAGCAAAATTGTCAAATTTGCGGAGATGATATCGTTCCGTCCACAAAAAGTTACTTTGTGGTGTGATTTTTGGTTTTGTGCCTGAAATGCACAAGAAATGCCAGGTGTCAACCGACCATCAAGATCTTCCAAGTCGACGTCGTTAGAACTGTTGTTTGCGGAGCTATTTTAAGTCCTCTGTTTATTCCAAAATCAAACGACGAGCATCAGATCGTTTTTTATTTCGATTCAAAGTTTCATCGGTCGTTATGGGCAAACTATTCAGATTATACCATCAGATAATGGAGTTCCGTAACTGTTTCTCACGCGTCCTGACGTCAACTCGCGCAAACAGAGATCCGTTTAAGACGCGGAGGATCGTGTGGACACGATTACGAGCGGTGGTTAAAAAAAAAAAGAAAAAAATTGGAAAAAAAATACGCGAGGTCGATGTCCAGTTATTTTCACGAGCCGACTTTTGCGGACTAGCATCGCCCGGAGTCTTTGACTTTTTTTGTTTTTCAATCAGACCGATGCTAACTAGCGACCTTCGTAGCGATCATTGAAACACAGAACCGGCTATGGTACAATCAAGGTCGCTGATGATACGTGCACGCAGCAGCCAGCGCGGCAGTTTTGTATTGTTCCGCGAGTATTTCGATCTCAGATCACGGCAAACCGCTGAAAGGAAACGCGACCATTTCGGACCTGTTCAGCGTCGTCGATTCGTGCCGATCGGTAAAAAATTCAAGTTGTCGCGTAGGCAGTTCGCGTTTTCGTACGATCGACATGAAGAAACTCCACCTGTGCTTTGTTTTGGATATCTGCCTGCTGGTAGCCTCGCAAAAAACAGCTCTAGACACGCCGGACAACCTGCGTCTCTACCGTGAAATTCGTAATCTGATCTTTCGAGTTTTCGGTACGTCAACAAGCTTCAAAACATTCATTTTGGGGAACATTTATGGGAAATTTTTAGATGCAAGATACGAATTATCATACGTAGGGGTTGAGACAACCCTCCACGAAGCTCACGTTTCATTAATTCTATTAACAAATTTATAAGCCACACTGTTATGCATTTTGCAGGTAACGCGGAAGGGCAAGAGCGAAAATTTCTAGCAAATCGTGAGCAAAAAATTCAGGAAGAAATTCCTCCAAATGTTCCCTTTCCTTGCAATGTAACAGGTAAGTAAAGTTTACTATTTTCCATTTTTCTTTTTAAATCTATACATTTAAGGATTTTAAACTCGTTAAGGTGTTTCTATTCTCTACGTTTACCCTAGTTTCTCCGAATGGCAGCGGATTACGAATTCCGATCTGTTTAACTGCTTTGCAGTTTCGTAAAGTAAAAGTGACGGAGATTTTGCACTCGAAATTCAAGAAAAATTCTTAAATAACATTAAGGAATCAGGAAACAACAGCTACTTAATCGATGTACGCTGAGAAAGCTTGTGATAAACGAGTTTCAAGGCCCCCGGTGCCATATCAAATACTCAACCTAATTAATGCACTTCTTCTTTGTCTTCTTCGCACGACGATCTTTCATTCCCCGTGGAATTATTCAGAAAGTGATTCAAACAATAATTATTCGGGAAATCATTGTGAAAGGTCTAGCAGAAGATAGACAAAGCAACAACTAATCCGTTCGCCAAGAATGGCGAAAAATTATTACTTCGATCAATGTCCTCTACGGATTAATGAATTTTTTACCTCGTAAGCAGGCTCGTTTTCTTTGTTACGATCGTCGTACATTTCCTTTCGAAACTTTCACACTTTTGCTCTAGCTTTAGCAATCTTTTTGCTTTATAAATATTGCACATCGCTCTTTGGGGTTCTCTTTTGCATTGTTTGCTCTTTGATCTTGCTTTTAGGTGGCAGGTCTTCGGAAGTGCCCGATTCGGTTCATCGTTTGAGGCCAGGTGACATAGACGTGATCGCCGCGATGGGCGATTCATTGACGGCTGGTAATGGAATATTTTCAACTAATTTATTACAGGTCGTAATTGAAAACAGAGGCGTCACGGCGAGTATCGGCGGCGAGGGAAACTGGCGAACGTATCTGACGCTCCCCAATATTCTAAAAGTACGTTCATTGATCATCCTCCGTCTAAGAAATCAATTTTCCCTCAATTGAAACAGTTTAAAACTATATCGATTTGTTAATCTCTGTATGTTGAATTGTAAATATTTACTGATTGTTACATACGCAGGAATTCAACCCGAATTTAATAGGATACGCGCAAGGAACTTCTCAAACTTCTCATCGAAATTCCCAGCTGAATGTCGCCGAACCTGGCGCGATGTCCAGGGACATGCCCTTCATGGCTAAATATCTAATCAACAGAATGAAAAATGACCCCAGGATAAACGTTGAGAAACAGTGGAAGGTTCGTGTTTCAAGTAAGAAAAATTCATTCCAACGAGAGTACGTACAACCCTTCTACTTGCAACTGCAATCGCTCGACAAGTTAAAATCAGATTAAAATAAAGATTTATTAATAAAACAATGGTTCTAACTGTCTTCAACTTCACTATGGAACGACGTTTCTAAATCTACACTAATAAATTCCAGCTGATTTCGTTGATGATCGGTAGCAACGACTTCTGCACCAACTTGTGCGAGCTGCCATCGCCGTGGTCCATTTTAGAAGACCACAAAATTGATCTAATCAACACTCTGAGAATACTGAGGGATAATCTGCCAAGGACTTTCGTTATTCTAGCTTTGCCGCCTCATTTGAAAGCGCTCGTCGACACACGAGAAGGGAGAGATTCGTTCAAGTGTTACACGATAACTACCTTCGAATGCCCCTGCCTGTTTGCATTGCAATTTCGAAACCAGAAATCGAATTACTATGACGTAATAAGAAGGTTTGCATCGGTTGGATATTATATGCAGTTTGTTCTAATTATTATCGATTGTTTATTTCTCTCAGATGGCAGGAATTGGAAGAAGAGATTGCTGACTACTCAGAATTCCATACAAAAGATTTCACGGTTGAAGCTTTGCCTGTTCTGAAATATTCGAACATACCTCTTGCCGACGATGGATTCTCTGATGTGTCGTATCTTGCCTTCGATTGTTTCCACGTAAGCCAAAAGGCCAACGCATTATGTAAGTTCAATCATACTAATTTAATGCTAGTAATACCAGAGGGTTAAAAATGACTTTTTCATGATACTAGCTAGATCTTAAAAAAAGAAGCCATTTGTAATAGTTTTAGCGTTAATAAATTCTTTTTTAAACAGATGCCAATGGTCTCTGGAACAATTTGCTAGAACCTTATGGGAATAAGACTGAACATTGGACCACACCATACGAAAGGTTTTTGTGTCCAACGACGAAGAAACCATTCCTGATGACGCGTGAAAATTCACGCAGGAACAACAAGCTACGATAATAATAATTTTCTTTAAACACACTAAACGTTTTCGTTGCAAGTTTTCCGCATTCCGAGTCTCATGCATCATGCTTTCATTAAATTATTATCAATTTTGTCTATCAAAATAAATCGAAATGTTCTTAAATTTTAGTATAGTAATGTCAAAGTGCCATCTTAGCAAACAATTTTATTTATATGTACTTGTAAGCAATATTTATTCCTATTTAATGAAAATTAAATTGTTATTTTATACATCACTATTTTGTGTACGACATTTAAATAAAGATAACGAGAACACTTGGTTGTACTGTATTGTTATATGTTTTAACAATGTGGCCAATATTTTTTCGAATAATGTAAACTTTAACTTCGTCTCAAACTGGCCATTTTTTGGAACGTTTATTGTTTTCACGGTTATTATAGTAACTATACCGATGGTCTCAAGACGAATTATAGTTTCGCCACTCTTACTCACGTACGATGACTTTACTACCGCGTAAGAATACAAAAGAACGTGCGTGTTTCGTTGAACAGAAAAGTAGAGGGGCCCCATCGATGGTTACGTTTACTTCTTTCCTCAGCTGTCTTCATTCATGTTCTGCTCAATCTTTCGCTGATACTAAATGATCATCCATGAAAGACAAATTGTGCTCCACGTGTGATCAGTGTCACTTCGTTGCTTTGCGTCGTGCGAGAAAACGAAACAGTGAAAAAGTGTACGTTAACGGAATCCTTAAAAGAAAAGTAATTCGAAACTGGCGGAAAAGTTGTTGACCACACTACTGCGATCAGCTGAGACTGACGATAAGGTACTTGCTCTATTAATCGAACAATTCGTTATTTTATTTAATAGCGTAATAATTGAATTTTATTAAAAAATAACAATCGTACACACGATCGTTTCAATTCATTTCTAAGGGACACAACATCCTATTTTTATTTATTCTTAACTGTCCAATTACTGGAACAGTTACCATAACAAATAATTTAAATTTTATTTTTATCGTAATTTTTTTCTGAAATATATTTTCAAGTTTTTCAACTTTTGCTGTTCGAGTGAACCTGAAAGAAAGATCCTGTTCGTCGAATTTCACGTTTGCTTGGAGGAAATAGGTCGACAATAAAGGAAAGTTTTACGCGGTATGCATCCTAATTTATTATTAATGTAGTTCCATGTAAACAATTAAAATGCAATTTTAAATTGGCATTAAAATTCGAGCATTCGAATAGAATTTTTTGCAGAGACTAAATATTAAAGCTAAATAAATGCTCGAATGCTTGACTCGATTTGGGAAAAAGTGAATTTGTTTTGGTTTGAATTTCAAGTACTTGGGCAGCAATAACTTGTGAAAATTGCTCAGGTTCAAGGTTCGAGGTTCTCGACAAATGCACCGACGTCAAGGAAGCGGAGAAAGTTGAAATATATCCTCGTAAGCGACAAATTCTCGAGGAGCATGAAAAAAAGAGGAACGATCGTAAAAATAATTGAATTATTTTCGATCTACCTTCTGCAAAGAGGATAAAATCGCCATGAAAATGGAGACTATGCGTTTGCTGCTGGTACTTATTATAGCACCAACGGTCATAGGATCCCTCACGGATTTTTTAAGAAGCATCTTTCGTTTGGGAAGGGTGAGTCTCCTTGGTAAGGATTATTAACGTTAAAAAACGGATACGTAAACGGCAGAAATGGTTTAGAAATTTTGGGGAAATCTTGGGTATTCCAGTAATGGTGAAAGTTCACTGTAACGATGGATCCAATTCATCACTGTTGGCTAATTCGGTTTGCCATCTGACCAACAATAGCGATCGCTGGCCAAAAATGGTTTAGCATGCAAGCTATACTACGCGAAGAGTCAAACGTGATTCGAGAGCCAATTAATGTGCCGTTATCCTGATGCTTTATAATTCTCTGTGCCTTGATTCTTATAATTTTCTTTTTATTAATGCATCTGAGCAGAAATACTCAAACATAAACGGTGCAAATGTAAATTATTAAGATTAGGCGGTTCATAAGCTACTTTAATCAAAATTAAACCCTTAAGAATCATATTTTATACGCTCGTAGGGTGAAAAAGGACTGGAAAGGCTTTGCAATATACCTTATGGTTGAAAGTACTTGGGTAGGGGAAATTTTACTTATTCCAGAATTCAGTTATGGTGCAAAGTCTAAACTCACTATGTGTAGCCTTGAGCTGCAGTCTTATACCGATATTCATAGTGAACGGACGTTTCTCTGCATATTATAATTCCCGCAAAATGTGTAAAATGGACGTCGTATGTGCAGTGATTGTTTGTAACAGTTTAATCGCGAGGGTTAAAATCGACACTGATAGATTTTCGTGGATCAAAAAGAAATCATAATTGATGGAGTGCATTAATAAATTGGATAATTTCTAATCGTAACTATAACAAAACGAAATATCTAAAAAAAACGATCAAACAAACCATTTTCCAATTTGAACTCTTTGTTTTCGATTTACCAAACAGCTGCAATCTGTCATATCAGTGGAGAATATTGTTTTTTTCGACTAATATTCGGCTGAAAATTTCGTATGAATTTATTTCCATTGCAAAAATTTAATTGTTTATATTTAATAAATTTGTTTTCGAAGGTTGGATATTGGAATAGTGCTGTGTAACTTCGCATGCGATTGATAACTAAGTATATATATTTACAACTGTAACAATGAACGATAAAAACGTTCCACAGTTATACAAGACACGTCGCGATCGAAAATATAATTGAAACTAATTGATCTTCGAGGATAGATTTTACCCTTGACATTGAGTCATTTTTGCTTAAGGCAATCTTTTAATAAAATAAGTTTATATTAAATAATCAATTGCTTTAAATAGTAAAGGACTTTTCGATTCCATTTTAAATTCAATCTAAACACAGTCTATTTGGCCAAATAAACTATTAAATCAAATTTGCATAATACCATTCGTTACAAATGAGTTAATTAAACTTGCCAACATGAAAAAAAAAACCCAAGTTTAATCGATGACGAATCCAGAGTGCGGTGCATTAGCACAATGCGAAGACCTATGTTACGTAAAACCGGAAGAACGACTAGACGGGGTGGAAAGAAGGATACTTTGCACGATGAACAATTGGAGAAAGGCCAGAACTTTTCTTTTCGTTCGAAAGACTTGAAAGAATGGTCGATCTCGGTGTCTCTAATCGATTAGGCTTTACGTTTCACTCTTTATTAAAATATTAACGATGATACGAAAACACTTTCGAAAGAGGAAATTGCAATAGCAAAGATTAGAGAAAGATTTGTTATCAGAATGAAAGTCAAAGCAATTTCGACGTATATTTTCTGACACATCGATCGATGCACTTTTGTTTACAAGTTGTTATTTCGAATCTTCATAGAAGCGACACACTTTGTCGGTAAATTATTTATATGCGACGGTATTTAAGCCACGGCGCGGCTGAATGCAAATGAAAGAAAGTCATCGACGACGACGTGCTCGTCGTGCTAATCTCGTATTTCGCCGACGATCGACGGAGACTTAAATTCTGATGGAACTACGCGCGCTGTGTACCGGAAAAAGCACACGCTTTGAAACTTTCATGCCTTTCGAGAAACCTATTATTCGATGGACCAGAATCCATTGCCAATGCAACGAATAAAACTAACAATTCTAAACAGGGAAACATAAAACAATGGTCGTTGTTTTAGAACGATGTTGTTAAACATGGGATAACGTATCCTGCAACGTATAGTGGAATAAGAAGTCAGCCTCGACTTCCGGATCATTTTCCATTTCCCTGCAACACTCGACTAGGGAGGTGCGTTAATAAAATTGCAAAAAAATGGTTAAATAACAGGTTCGATAAATATTCGAAAATTTTGTTTCAGATCATTATCGACGCCTGATAATGTGCATCGCCTGAGACCAGGCGACATAGATATCGTCGGTGGTCTCGGCGATTCGTTAATAGCCGGAAGTGGAGCTTTGGAAGAATTTGCAATAGGAACATTTATAGAAGCACGCGGAGTTAGCTGGTGCGTGGGCGGTCAAGGTGATTGGAGACGGTTCTTAACCGTTCCTAATTTACTGAAGGTATTAATCGCATTAAACGTGCACTCAACTTGTTAGCGAAACCATAAACCATAAGTGTCTTCGATATTCCATATGCGAAATGAAAACAATCGAAACTGATCCAAGGCAATTATTATAACAGATGTTCAATCCTAATTTAACTGGCTACTCCACGGGTACGGGTGAATTTATCTCGTCGAAAGCCAAGCTAAACATCGCGTTTCCTGTCGCGGCTACCGAAGATGCACTGCAACAAGCACGAATCCTCGTTCAAAGAATCAGAAACGACGCCAAAGTAAACGTGAACGAGCAGTGGAAGGTACCATAAATATTAATTAAATATAAGCCAAGACTTTTACAGGACACACGAGTGTCAGAATCTTGAAATATTTATGCATATTGCAGCTCGTAACGATATTCTTTGGCGCAAACGATATTTGCTCCGCTCAATGCTATAGTCCCACACAATTTTCACCAGCTCGATACGCTCTCCATTTGCGAAGAGCTCTGGATTTTTTGAAAATAACTCTACCTCGAACTCTAGTCAACGTTGTGCCAGTTATAGGTGACGTATCATCGATAATTTTGCGATCAAACTCGGCTGTCGACTTTATTAATCACTGAATTCTTTTATTCTTAGACGTCACAGTCTCTGTTAGAGTTCCACGAAGTGCTATGTGCAATATTTTGCATCCACTTTACTGCGCTTGTATGCACAAGGGTACTCGACCGGACATAACTGCATCAAAAATGGCGTATTTTTATCAGCAAGCCATAGAAAATCTAATCTACTCTGGAAGGTATCGTCTAATAAAAATAATTTTAATTTTAATCACTATTAGACGAACAATGAAACGTAACTGTTATTTTCTATTTCAGATACGATAAGTCTGCAGATTTTACAGTAGTATTGCAACCGTTTATGAAATTATTTAATGCTCCAAATGCGGATCCACGCAAAGCATCGCCAATTGATCCTACTTTAGTCACGCACGATTGTTTTCATTTCAGTCAAAAGGGCCACGCATTGGGTGAGAATATTAAACGATAAACAGGCTAATAAACAATACCAGTGAATCTATATTTACGGTTGCGCCTTCCAACGTTCGTTCGTTTCTATACAAGCGTGTATAAACGGTTGCATATCGCCAGGCGCTGCAATTATTTAATGAACGCGTCGGTATTGCAGTAAACTGCAAACCACATTCTATTGCTGTACATGCAGAGTGTTCGGCCACCCATAGGAAACACTTTAATGGGAGATTCTAGAGACCAAAATAAGACGAAAATCAAAAATATCAATTTATTGATTGAGGCTTCGTTAAAAAATTATTAAAAAATTTTTAATCGTTCTGCAAAAATTATTTTCGGTTGCGGGGGTCAATTGCAATCATTTTTGGTCAATAGACATATCCTCGATATCCTAGCCAGTTTTGAGAAAAAAATTCGAGAAGGTGTGAAATTTTCGATGAAATTAAAAAATTTCGAATCGTTTTAAAAAAATTATTTTCACTTGCAGGGGTCAATTACAATCAGTTTTGGTCAATAAACATACCCTCGAAATCCTACCCGTTTTCTAGAAAAAAATTCGAGAAGATGTCAAATTTTTCGACGGGAAAAAAAATTTCAAATCGTTTTGGAAAAATTATTTTCACTTGCAGGGGTCCATTACAATCATTTTTGGTTAATAGACATATCCTCGATATCCTAGCCAGTTTTGAGAAAAAAATTCGAGAAGGTGTGAAATTTTTCGGCGAAAAAAAATTTTTCAAATCTTTCTAAAAAAATTATTTTCGTTTGCGGGGGTCAATTACAATCATTTTATGTCAATAGACATACCATCGAAATCTTACCCATTTTCGAGAAAAAAATTCGAGAAGGTGTGAAATTTTCGATGAAATTAAAAAATTTCGAATCGTTTTAAAAGGACTATATTGAACGAGTCACCGAATAACTGTCATTATTATTTAATATTGGTTTGTTATAAAAACAATAAAACATGAATAACAGCAGGAATAATTTTTAGTAAAAATCTAAATACAAATGACAGACTTGAAATCTATAACTAAATTGCACGAACGCATTTAAATTGCCCTGAAGATGAAAAAACATTTTGCGTGATTATGGAACTGGTCACGTTTATCTTACCAGCTCCGCAATAATGACTCTCAGTTTTTCAGTAGCTAGAATTTTTATTAATTAAGATATACAGCACAAAGGAGGTGCCCATCCGGTCGATTAATCAAGAAATTTGAATAACCTGTTAATTTCTCATTGAAAAAACAAATTCCGATTAGATTATTGGTATTATTCCTGCTCATATATTTGCACTAAATCATTTCTTTAGCAGCTCGTTTGCACTATCGTTTTCTCAGAACGAGTCGTACAAAAACTTACTCGACACTTTTACGAATAGGGTGACCATTCCAATAATTTATTCCAGAAATTACTAGCAAACATTACTCGTTGATATAAAGAAAAATGATAGGCTAACGATTACTTTCTCGACTAAAATATTCAATTTATAAATTCTTCTACGTTTTCTCTGCCCTCTTTACAGCCGCGAACCTTCTTTGGAACAACATGCTGGAAGCAGTTGGAAATAAAACGGATCGAGGGCTGCCTGAAATATTCGAAAGGATTTTATGCCCGACAGAAAGGGCGCCATATATCTTTACAAACGTAAATTCAAGGCATTTCCAAATGACAGGAAGCCAGGAGGAGATCGTGCCAAGATAACGGATAGAAAGATCATTTGTATCGATGCTTTCGTTTGTGATAATTACTGATACGGACTTGGACGCGATCAGAATGGAAAGTTCCCCACCAGCATCGCTACAGTGTCTTAAAAATGGCATCTGACAACGAAAAACGTATAAACAATTGAAGAAACGACATTGCTTAACGTGTTTAAATGATTTTCGTGGTAGAATTTGATCGTAATTGTGACTTTTTCGAGGTCAGTTACGCGTTTTAAAACACTGTACGTTTCTAAATAATTACGTGAAAGCGTGATGTACTAATTCTAAGTGACATACCTATGAAATGTGCCTATAATGTGTTTCTGTGACTTTACTGTTCGTTTCTATTCGCCGTAAATAGAATATCCCGACGAATAAAAATAACTTTGTCTGTGCCAGATAGTTGACTCCAGTTGCATTGCAAAATCAACCAAGAGTTTAGTACCTCGTAGCTATGTAAGATACGTAGTTTCGTTTAGTTGTTTTTTGTAGAATAAAAATGAATTGAAAAAGAAAGAAATTTGTATTATGCACACTGGTAACATTAATTTTGATCTCGAATAAAAATTGATTGTCGTTCATTTAATGGTATTATGACTATCTTTGTAAATATTGTCACTATCAGTCTTTCTTGCGATTTATTGTAATAATCAATGAAACCTCAATATCTGCAACATGTAGCTTTCTTGCTGTTAACAATTGGCAACAATTGACTGTGAAATTAAATCAGTGACGAGTATGTGTGCGTAAAAACCGATTATTCAACCGAATGGTGTCAGATGTCTCGTGAAAGGAACGATCACCGAGGATACACATATACTTTCGAGAACACTTTTAGACGTTAATGGAACTTGACCTCGAGACATTGATAACGAAGGTCGAAGAATGACCTTCGATTAGCCATACTTTCTTTTACGGAGTATAGACCGAGATACTGCTTTCTGGCTCCTGAATTAACCCTGGGATTACACACCGTCTTTCAGATATGGCGTGCAAATTCTATAAAAATTCACCGAGACACGTTCGAGCATCAATTTTAAGCGTGGACTAAAGTTACTGTACTAAATGATTAAAAACAATGTATGTTTAGAAATAATCTACTGTGTGATAATAATAAAGATGTAAACATTTATTAAAATAGTATTTAATTATGTATCTATGAAGTATTCGAAATTTTCCCCAGTCTTGTATTGCATTGTACCAATGACTTCGTTTTTAATTATTTCCAAAAACAGTAATCAAACGGCGTCAAGTATGAAAAAGAACGTAGCCATTTTGTCCTCCAATCGATTATCGGAAATCTGGTGGTAATACTTGATCTGCGCAATGTGCAAGGGAATCACTATTTTTGTGCCACGCAACAGGTTTGGTAAGATGCATTTTAAAATGTACTCCGATTATGGTATCGCCAATTATGTCACGCCGACCATTTAAATTCCACCGTAGAAAATTTCAAATAACACGGTGAAAATATTAATTTAAAAATACTTGCTCCTGTAAAAATTGATCGAATCGTATTGTACGCTGTCGAAACAGTTTGACAGTGATAAATTTGGACCATGGTTGGCCCACATTCCTTATCAAACTTATCGAAAGCTTCGTAAATCGTGAAACAATTGAGAACATTCATCTTCAATGAAATGTCAAAGTGTCATCGGGTATTTAACTCTTAATCGCTTGGGAATTAATTAATTAATGTCGCGATCGATTGATATTAGCACAATAGATCCATTAAGATTAGCCTTGGCGACACACGGCATTAATCTTTACTTCGGCTTAACGATTTCGATCTTATCAATTTTATAGTATACACGACCAGAAGGCGAAAAATATTCTCAGTGTCTAAGCTTTTTAAAAAAAATACATATCTCTGGATTCCTAAATACACTTCGTTCTATCAGTGCACATTCTATATCGATTGAACGTAATTTATCACGCAACATTTCCTTATGACCTCCTAATTTGCATATGGAAATGTCCTTTGCATGGCGTCGAACGCACAAGACTATCTCGAAGCATTTAACTTGGTAAATATTAATATTAAATAATTAAAAATGTGGAGTTACTTCTCTTTGTACGCCCTTTCACTTTAAAAATAATCAATCTTTGATACAGGACTCGTAACAAATGTTTCGAGATGCTTCTATCATGTTTACGTGCTAAAAAATTACAATGTTATTGAAAAACAACTAAGCTAGGCGTAATAAAACGTAATTGCAGACTAATTCAAGCTTCTCTGAACTCAAGATTCTTCTTCCTGTTTATATACAATTCCTTTCTTTGAGGAAACGATTATACACGCCTGATTAGACGCACCTTCTTGTGCGGTCCAGTAACTACGACTTCGACAAGGACAAAGTATGACAGATAATTGCAAATTTACTACTTCGTTTTCTACGCAATATAATCATTTGCAAGTAACTATTATAACTCGTTTCTTAGTTAAAAAATACTAAACTATTTAGCTAGTGTTGCATACGGAGGTCAAGCTGTTTAGTCTGCAAACCGAGATAAAATTCTCCGGGCCGTAACCTCTTGGTCTCCGAAACAAAATGGCGCTGCTTGCACACCAGATACATTTAACTTGCATTTAAAATCCTCCTTACTTTGCATTTCACTTTCACACGATGTATTATTATTTAATCATTTCATAATCTTCCTATTTCTCTTAGCTGAAGCGTCTGAAACCTACCATTATCAACGTACGTGCTTCGATTTTTAAATGCACAATTAGCGTTCAATGGGAGCTCCTTCCCTCCATTAATAATATTGCAACATGATTAGAGTAACAATAGAAATCTTTGTCTTTGTTCAGGCTTCTTTCTTTGTCTTTGTTTCATTGTTTAATTAGCAGAGCACCGTTATTACGCGCACATATAAATCATCGACAACTGGTATAAAAATTACAAAGAGTTATTCGAAATAATTATTAAACTGTTAGTTTTATAGGTGAAAAAAGAATTTTTTCTATTGGTACAATTATTTTAAATTACCCCCCATCCTTAATTATTATAACTGCCAATTTATAATTACATAATAACGTATGTTTAAGGAGAAAATGAATGTATTTTGTATATCAAGATTAGCCAGGACTGTTGCATCATAGTTTCTGGAATTTTCATCGACGGTACGTGTTATGAAAAATGATATTTTTCTATTTCTTTGTTCTATTAATGGATGAAATAAATTATACGATGGCAAGTGTCAAGAATCGGACATGTTTGCATTACAGTATACATATATATCGTAAAGTTCGACGAGGTTATCAGCATTAGTATGATTCTGCATCGTATAGCATTAAAGTAATGCTGTATAGAATATTATATTTGTCGTATGTTTTACAAAATAATTTACTAAAATGTTTGTTTATGAGATCGTTAATTAGTTAGTTATTTTTTTTTAATGTTTTGACCTTCCTGCTTGGTAAAATATCGTAGCAAATCGACGAATTATTATTTTTTTCGATCGTAAAACTTTGACGCCGGAAACAGACGAAGACTGGCACAGGTACAGTTAAATTTAGCTATGTCTACAGTAAGAGTATTTGTGTTTTCACCTAATCTGTATTTACGTAAGGTAACAATGACCCCGCTGAGCGATCTAAATTTTTAGAACGTGCCCTAAGCGTTAAGTGGGCTCTTACTATACCGCCCACGAGGCTGTAAACACAACGAAAATAAATTTCATTTTGTATAATTTCGAGATACCGATTTTGATCACGGTACTGCAATACAATTGCAAATTAAAAGATTCTTCGACTTCTTTCGAACGTTTCATTTTTATAGAATCGAACAACATGCTCGATAGTGTTTCAGTAAATTTTTGCAGATTCTGGGAAAGGATCCACGACCTCCAGGCTGCCAAAAAGGAAACAAAGGCGGGGAACCACTGCGTTAGACTAATCTTGTTTGATTTCCAAGTGGACATAATGTGACGTCAACGGTTTTTTGGTAGACGTGCAGATGTTGAATAGATGCAAAGGTCAACATTCCAATACACCGTTTTAAGGTGCGTGGAATGTATGTTAAAGGTCGTTGAAGGTCAACTACGAGGGAAAGTAATTTACATCGAGGAACCGATGAAACGCTTTGATGATTTACTTGTTTCTTTATACGCTATTAATTATAATAATATATATATTTAGAATAGTCATACGCAGCAGAATTATTTTAGGAAATACGAACAAAATATTTTTGCTATATTTGTTTTCTAAGTTAAGCACAAGTTTTCAAATGTACGCAATTCGATATTATCGTTGTTTACGATGCTTTGAAACGCTTCTCGGTGATAAACAAGTAACAACTAATTTCGTGTACAATTTACCGCATCATCGATTCGACTCTGATAAACACAGATCGTAAAACATGATCGAATATTATATTCTACAACGATCAAAAGAAAGATAAACCAATTTCCGGAAAAGACACGGTCGTGTTTAGTCGAATCCTTGAATTAAATTATTTTGCATCGTAGTTGACTCTCAATATCCTTGAATGAACTTTAACCATAGGTTGTTGCATGGCACTGTAAAACGTTATTTTATAAGGCAAATCAAATGATACGGCAATCTGTGCAAAAGGAAAAACAAAGTTGCATTCGTGCTTCCTCTACTTACAGAAAAAAAACTATTGACATCGATTATATTCGAATAACACGATATTAAAAATAACGTAATATGCATTAACAATTATTTCCACGGTTATTTGCGTCAAATGACACCTTTCGATCGAACTATCTATGCATAAATTTATATTTTATCAACGACACACACCTGTATCTCCCCCACTTAGAGAATAAGTCTTTGCTTGTTTGACAAACGTAAACATTTCAATTTAAATGTAAGTAGCGAGCACTCGTCTTTAATATTTGCACAAGTTCAGTTATTCCTGGCCATAGTGAACACGTATTTAATAATGTTCGACCTCAAATATTTGTACAAGTTTAGTGCCTTAATCATTTACAGAAGTTTGTATAATGAACAATATAGCAGAATATATC